TAGCTTGGATGTTATACCTTTTCACCACCTGGCAGGTCGTCAATAATCTGTTGCAAAAGCTCTGGGTTGTTAATCAGCTCATCGAGATTATCCTACAATGACACGTTCGTCGACTGCTTATGGTGACAGAGCAAACTTTGATAACATACCACTTGCGCTGTGCTTACATCCATAGTCTCCTCAGCTTGTTGTGGTTGGGCAGACTGAGGCGCTGCTACGGGTGCTGAAGTTAAAAGTACATGTGTAACATGAACAAAAATTTCTGTGCGAGCTTCTAACATATACTTTTCTAACAGTGATAACTTCTGCTGGTTGGAAAAAGGTTGTAGAGATTATGATACAAAACGTATAACATGTTGGCATCTGAATAGATTCGTTCAAGTGTAGTAAATCGAAATAATCAATACTAAGTGATGAAAGTTCACTCAAAATTGGCTCTAATCTGTATCGCAACAGACCTTTGATATTGATTCGTAAATATCGCAAAACATTTTTTACATTATTCGTTACAGACTTTAACCTTTGGATGTTGTTGTTATAAAAAGGAAGAAACAGATTGTAAATCACCAGGATTTTCTTCTGACCAAAAAAGTTTTTTTTCCTCTGTTCTGCTTATAGAAAATTTTCGCTGTTCTACAACATATCGGTTTAATCTATCGATTTAATGACTAATGAATGAAGGGAGAACTATTCAGAACTTTGCGTACCCGCTACGCTCAGTTGTTTCAGAGTAATCCTTGAATGAGAATCATACTTGTAATCAGCCTGTTAACAAACCGTTGTTCATTTTCAATAGCTCAAAGCGAATGGTTATCAAATTCGTAATCAGCATATCAAGTTACCCAAGTAAACCAACCCCTAGCGCCTTTGACCATAAACTCGAAAAAGCAATAAATCAATAGACTCAGTAGACATCTTTAAGTGGCTACCATATTTGCAATCAGGATATCAGCTTACCCCAGCGTACCAACTCTCAGCTATCTAGAACGAAAACTGCGAAAAAATCAACAAAGCGGTAATATCAATCGATAT